AAATTGCATTCCATGCAAACATATACTATAGATCACAGGCGGCCCAATCTCGCAAGCGACACTATAGACTTGTATATTATAGCAATGTATATTAAAGTAAAAATATGAAATAAGATTAATTTTAAAATGAAATTTACTTGTCTGTTCGATAGTGTGTGTTCTCCTTTTATTCCACTTTTGTTGGACTAATATTTTCCGAGACTTTGCACTCGATTAGTCTGGATGCTACCTGACCTTTGCGAGATTGGGCTACTCCGATGAAATTAATGATTTTCGATGGCTGGGGGGAGCGGGAAATCAAAACAACAAGTCCACTATGTCGGGGAAATTTATCTTTATCTTGTATAAAAATCACATGGACGAATTGAACTAAATTTTGGCACAAGAATGAGCTTAAAAACATAGTATGACAAAAGGAGCCTGTGGAGAATACCTGAAAACAGTTTTAACTTAATTAAGAAATATTCTCGGCGAGATGCAGCGAAACGTGACTATGTAAGTATGTAATACAATTTATAAAGATTGTCTTAATACTCTGAACATGTGTTATTTGAGTTTGAATCATTTGTCCTAGTTTAAGTTATGTGCCCTTACGAGTTTATGATCATTTCCCAAGATCATTTGCGCCAAATTGCTCACAAAAGAATAAAAATAGGTACGCATTGCGTACATGTGGTTAGCCTATAGGAATGGCAATTGTTATAGCGTCATATAGCTGATTTCGTTCAATATAATGAACGAAATATCTTGGTTGATTTTTCAACCATTGAACCATAAAATTTTATTCTTCATTCTTTGTCGTATGTAGCCAAATATCGTATAACATAGCCATAATACAGCAGCCTTTTTAAAAACAAACCAGAAAATGCTAAATTAACTCTACTATTTCGTTGTAAACGGCTAAAATAGAATTTTAAAACTCCTTCTCCCTCCGTCCCAAGCATCGTAGGTCGCTAAAAGCTGCCAACCTTTAAGGTCCAGACACATCGGGCGCGATTCGACAACGCTACGCGATTTTTTAGTTTTTGAAAGTTAATGCAACTGCCAATGAGAGCAAATCCTAAAAGACATGTAGACCAAGTAACGCAAAATGTTATAACGCTTCTAAATACTTGGAAAATTTAAACTAGGATTAAAGTTATCGGTCAGTGAAAACGGAAAAATCGCGTCGCGTTTTCAAATCGCATCCGGTGTGTCTGGACCTTTAGATGTTCATATATTGAGTTTAGTGCATGCTATGAACACAATAGTACCACCATTTGATTCAGTGAAAAATCAAATAGTTCCTTACAATAGCTTTAGACATTATCAACATTGTAGCGATTTATTGCCCCTGAAAGGCAAGCGAGATCATACCTTTCGCTGAACATATAACTTCGGCCACGCTACAGGGGTAATGTGACTCTAATCGGTTTCCGACGAACGGTTTCCGATGTTTCACGAGTGCTAGGACAGCATTGTTTCGACAATCAGTTTGTATCTCCGGTTGACGCTCTCAATAAAAATTTAGATATTCTGAAATACCGAAATAAAAGATGCAAATCTGTAGATACAAGCTTGAAAATAACACTCTGAATAGTGTTTTGGATTCTGATTCGAACAACTCAAAATTATTACGAAAGAGATATATTGCAAGGGGCCAAAGTTCTGTTCGGCGAAAGGATATGCACTTATGCCTTAGTTGGTAATACATTGGAATTGTTTACAATGTTCGTGAAAATTGTGTGAGATATGGTATCGCTTAACTTCTAAAGATCGTAAATCGCTATAATGTTCATGTTGACATTTTACTAAAACCATCCATAGGAATTGTTTGATTGAATTGAGCGGTGGTATTTTCATCCACATAGCATGCACTGAACCAAAGATATATATGCACCTCCTAAGTAAGCCGACGATATGATATGCCCATATTGATCTACAAAATTTCATAAACCAACTGTAATAATATTCTCTGTAATAATATTTTGTTAGTATTTATTTATTCTCAACCATGACAATCTGCGCTATATCACTGTCTCTACAACTCGTGTCTTTCTTACTATATATATTCTTCCTTCCGTGCCATATAAGGTAATGTTCTAGAATGTCACTGTTACGTCATTGTTTACTACATCACACCCTTTTTTTCTTGAACAAAACAAAACAAAACAAATAGGTTATTATATTAATAAATAATGTCAATCATATACCAACTGTCCAAATCTGACCGGTTTTCCTCTAATTCTTTGTGACCTGCGTAGACCTATGTGCTCGTCCACTTGTTCAGTGTTGTTATCGTTCCAGTTTACTCTATTCTCCGTTGCCGTACGTCGTTCATCGTCATCATCGTCCGTTTCAATCGATGTTTGTTTGGATATCCGTTTAAAGAACGATATGTTGCGCGTTACCATATGTCCGGTTTTGTTTCGGGCTGTTACATGCGAGTTTTGCCGCTTTGTAACGACATATGGTGTTAGGTCAAAGGTTGGAGACAGATTGTTTTGCCTATTTTGTCGCACTAACACATGATCTCCTACTTTTATCTCGCCTTTTCTGCTGCGATGTACACGACGATCGTACTTTTCGTTGTATTCCTGTCTTTTCCTTTCGTTAGCACGAGCTTCCTTGTGTCTATTGACGTTGCTTTTCTGGTGTAATAACGGTAATTGTCCTTTCACTCTCCGATTAAACAATATTTCCGCTGGGTGAACTCCGGTGGAACAATGTGGTCAGGTACGGTATTGAAGAAGAAATCGATTCATTTCCTGTTTTCAGGATCGTTGCTCGATTTTTGCTGTTTTAAGCGCTTTGCCGAGGGGCTGCATAAAACGTTCTGCCTCGGCGTTTCCTTTGGGCCATAACGATGTAGAGAATTCGAGCTTTATCCCCAACGTTTTAGCATAGTTTCGATATTCCTCCCGGTTAAATGGAGGTCCATCATTCGTTTTAATTACGTTTGGAATACCATGCACAGAAAACATACAATCTAGTTTGTTTATGATTATAGATGCTTTCGTTGATTTGACGATTTCAACCTCAGGAAATCTAGAATACCAGTCTATCACAACCAGTAAATATATTCACCGGATGGGAGTGGAACGTAAAAATCCATGTGAAGTTCTTCCCAGGGACCCTTTGGTATTTCGGTGCTTTCGATTGGTTGATGCGGGTTGGACTTACCTACTGCTTGGCACGGTATGCATTGTTTGATTGTGGTCTGTGTCATTTCCTCCATTTTGGGAAGCCAAACCTTTTCACGGATAAGGGCTTTGGTTTTGCTCAGTCCAAGATGGGTGGCGTGAGCAATGTCAACTGCGCGTTGCTGGAGTGACTGTGGTAGCACGATTCTTGTACCACGAAGAACTACATGCGCCTTTGCTTGTGACGGTCAGTTCGTTCTTTACAGGCTTGAATGCATTCACGAGGTCATAATGCCATTTGTAGCGTTTTATCCGTGGCAGTTTCAACTTCGTTGAGCGTTAGTGTTTTCGGAACACTACAGCGTGCGATCAGGTTAATATAAACATCGGTCATTGATGCCTGTTTGGAGCTGATTAATGTCGGGTGACGGGACAAATAATCAGCCGGATTATTTGTGCCAGGCTTGTATTGAACTTTAAAGTGCTTATGTCACAAAAAAAGTATTTTTGATATTTGGTAGAGGACGAAAAGTTAGTTAATAGGTTCTTTAACATTTATCGGTTTTCTCTTTTCATTCGCGAGATACGAGGCTCTAAACAGCGATTTTCGTAAAATTGTCGCGTATCAACAAGAGTCTGGGACGAGCGTGGTGTGACGTAGCTTAAGGGACTTAATTTCGACGCGCATTATACATTTGATATATTTTCCAGCATGTCAGTATTAAATTATGGTGAGTGTAAACATAGATTTATTTTAACATTTTAACGTAAAATAAGTATCTCTGGCTAATATATTTTGCGGGATACGGGCTCATAGTACTCATACGGCATCAGTCACATCAAAGAGTTAAAACCACACTTCCCTCACCTTCGCAAGAAAATACAAGACACGAGACCAAAGAAAATATAAACAGACTGGTTCAGAGCAAATTACGTACAGTATATATTCTTGTT